TGCACTTAATTTTAACCTTCCAGCAATTTCTTCTTGTATAAAAAAGTCTTCAGTAAACAATTTCAAATATATTGGCTAAACCATGAAAATATACTGCACTCAATGGTGCTAGTTAATAGATAACGAACCAGAAGTCTGGGAGCGGCTCAATTAAGCCGCTGCCGACGGCTAAGATCCACCCCGGAAGTCCAGTATCTTTTTTTCTTATGTGTTTTAATAAAGGGACGGATATTCTTTTTTTTTTTCTAAAATGTGGAAGGGGATTCTTGACAGTGTTTATAGATGGCTCATACTGGTACCTTTCCTCATAATCTATTAACTAGCAACATTGAGTGCAGTATATTTTCATGGTTTAGCCAATATATTTGAAATTGTTTACTGAAGACTTTTTTATACAAGAAGAAATTGCTGGAAGGTTAAAATTAAGTGCACAGTTTACAGCTATGATATTGCACCAATTAACACTCTCATGAGATAGTTTGGTAAATGAATAATACTCAAATCACAAGATTAAAAGTTGTGTTTACACTGTGCAGATTAGGACACCTTTGGAGTGCTGTGTCTAATAATGGATGTAACATTGTAGGTACCCTTATACTGGGTCACAAATTGTGGATGATAAAAATAAGAATTATTGTGTTTGCAGGCAATGGTGGGGGAGTTAATGAATAGCCACATTAGACAGATCAATATAAAAATTGATATTGACAGATCAATATAAAAATAATCATGATTATGAGAGTTTTGAAAAGCGATTCATATATCTGTTGAAAGAGTATATGTGTTATGTTTGGTGAAGTTCAAATGAAAAAAAATCTCTCTACCTGTGAAACTCTGATGCAAAAATGGCCTGAGATTTGTAAATATGGGGCATGGAATGGTAGGATTAGAAGCACTGAAATTGTAAGCACCCAGATTTCGGCTAAATGTTAGAAAATTATGAAAGAGCTTATAGAAGGGATGCAGACAATCCTCCCCACTTTTTAGATCATGACAGCAGCAAAAGATTATTTATTAAATTTGTTTGCTTCCCATCTCACCGCAAGGCAACTTTGGACAAAAAGTGTTGTGAATCTACAACCCAGTATAATTTTCCTCCATCCAACCTTATTCTAGACAGGTGGAATAGAAATCACCTGAAACACATGACATCCATATCACTGATTGGTCAGTTTGAATTTTCTTGCAAACTACCTCTACCTCCCAGGAAATTCTCTATTGGATTATTGTATCTTCAGGAGGCTAGCAAAGAGTGAAAGCTGAATGTAATCCTAGGGTATTCTCAGATTTCAAGATTCCTAATAAATAAAGCAGCTAAACCTGACAAGTATTAATTAGCGAACTTTTATTTTAAATGATAGCTGACTATTTCTGACTTCTTTCTTCAGGAATTTTTAGTGTTTTCCAATTGGCACTGAAGCTGATTTCACTGCTCTGTATACAGGAAATGTCTTACCCATGTGCTAAACTCTGTTTAGAATGTGTATGTGCATGTGCTTAAGGAATTTAAGGTATTTAAGGAAAAGAAAAACTTTGGAACAATGTTTTCTTCTTGTACGCAACTATTAGCCCTGGCTTCCTTTATATTTAAGCTCAGGTTTAATAAATGTGGATCACACAGGTGGTGGCGCAGCATGCCTAGCGTTTGGAAGTAAAGATACTTGCATTCCCCCTTCTCCCAGGTTTTTAAAGTTGGATTATTTTGAAAGATGATTGCTTCCATTTCAGCAAAGACTTGAACAATTGGGGAGGCTGCCCTATGCATTGCAGATTTTTCAATTGAACAGTGGGTTGGAATAGATGATCTCCAATGTATTTTCTATTTTATAGTGTTTATTCATTGTTAACATATGCATTACAAGTACTATAATTGACCTAAACAAATACACTTGCTTTATTATTCTATCATGAGACTGTAATGTGAGGCATAGGTACAAATTCTACTGTAATATACTATAATATTCTTCATAAATAGAATTTTAGATTGGATCACAGTGATATATTAATAAGCATCACTCATTAGTTTGATATTTACAAAAATATGGATATTTGTGAGACTCTATTGGACATGCTCTAAAACAGTGGTCCCCAACCCCCGGTCCGCGGACCGGTGCCGGGCCGTGGAGTACCTGGCACCGGGCCGCGCAGCGGCCGGGGGCCTCCTCGTTCCTCTACTTCGGCTATGTGGCGCCCGGCATTGGTAAGGGTCGCGCGGCGCGGTTGGAGAAAAAGCGGCTCAGTCGTCTCCGAGTTGCCCAGGGAGGGGCGGCACGCCCGGGACGGAGACGGCGCTTCCCCGCCCGGCCTTGGCTTGTGAGAAGGAACGGCAGGAGAGGTAGAGAGAGAGAGAGAGAGAGAGAGAGAGAGAGAGAG